GCGCCACCATGCCCAGCTGATTTTTTGTATTTTTAGTAGAGACGGGGTCTCACCATGTTGACCAGGATGGTCTCGATCTCTTGACCTCGTGATCCACCCGCCTCGGCCTCCCAAAGTTTTTTGTATTTTTAGTAGAGACGGGATTCACTATGTTGGCCAGGCTGGTCTCGAACTCCTGACCTTGTGATCTGCCTGCCTCAGCCTCCTAAAGTGGTAGGATTACAGACGTAAGCCACCTTGCTTGGCCCTTATTTTTTAATTAGTATAAATTTAGGGGTTACATGAGCAGTTTTGTTATGTGCATATATTGCATAGTGGTGAAGTCTGGGCTTTTAGTGTACTTATAACCTGAATGGTGTACATTGTACCCATCAAGTAATTTCTTATCCCTTAGCCCCTCCCTGCCTTCTGAATTTCCAGTGCCCATTATTCCACACACTATAGCCATGTGTACACATCATTTAGTTCCCACTTATAAGTGAGAACATGCTGTATTTGAATTTCTATTTCTCATAAAATAATGGCCTCCAGTTCCATGAATGCTGTGGCAAGACATTATTCCGTTCTTTTTTATGGCTGAGTAGTAGTCCACATTTTCTTTATTCAGTTGTCCATTGGTGGACACTTACATTGATTCCATATCTTTGCTGTTGTAAATAGTGCTTCAATAAACCTATGAGTGCAGGTATCTTTTTAATATGATTTATTTTCCTTTGGGTATATACTTGGTAATGGGATTACTGGATCAAATGAATTGTTTTGAGACTATTTTAAGAGTTACAAGACCAGTCCAGTACATATGCCCTTTCCTTAGATTCTCCAGTTGTTACTATTTTGCTGCATTTGCTTTATCACCACCCCCAACACATACACAGTACATATGTGTGCGTGTGCATATAAACACACAGAATTTTTGTTGAATCATTTAAGAGTAAGTTGCAGACATTATGACTCTTCATCCCTGCATACTTGAGATATTCTGGGTATATCTCCTAAGAATAAAGACATATTCTTATGTACCCCTAGTATAATGATTGAAATCAGAAAATGTAATGTTGATATAATGTCAGTTGTCCATATTTAAATTTAATCAATTGTTATATCATGTCCTTTATAGCATTTCCTCTGTGACCCAGAATCTAATCCAGAATCATGCAGGCCATTTAGTTTTTATGTTGGTTTACTTCCTTTCAGCCTAGAATGATTTTTACAGCCTTTCTTTGTCTTTTTAAACATGTTTTTGAAGAATTTGGGTCTGTTGTTTTGTAGAAAGTTCCTGGATTTGTATCTGTCTGATTGGATCTTTATGATTAGATTCAGGTTATGGGTTTTTGGTAGAAGTATCTCAGAAGTGGTATGTGTCCTTCAGGGCATCCAGTAAGCAGGCATATGAGATCTGTCCCATTATTTGCGAAAAAGTACATAAAACATATATATAGTTTAACAAATAATTATAAAGTGAGTAACCATGTTATTAAGATTCAGGTTACGAGATACAATGTTGCCCAGTTCTACAGAAATACTGGTCCTGCAAGAGGGACCCCTGCCTTGGCCTGTTGCTTTAGAGGGCTCTGCTTTGTCCCTCCTCTACCAATGCCCTTTCCACAGAGCAAGGAATCTCCAGGGCCTTCGGAACATGCTCACTTGGAGCCTGAACCCTTCCATCGCAGACCATGGTTTGAGCACCCAGCATCTCAGAACTTCTTGCCCAAATGTCCCTGAGCTTGTTTCTGGAGCCTGTGTTAGTCTTTCCCCTGGAGTCTGTTCTCCTGGGAGTGGACTATGCTGCATACACTCCTAGGTCTAAGGGGTGGCCTAGGGATAGCTGTCAGTGAGGAGTAGGGGATGGGATAGAGCTTAAACTTGTGAACGGGGTAACTGCATGCTTGTGTGTGAGGTCCCTTGTAGTGGAGGATAGAGAGGGGGCAAAGGATAGAGAGCCAGTGGCCAGTTTTCGCGGCACCACTGCTTTTCTCCATGAATCCAAAATACGAAAACTCAATATGAACCTAGTCTTCTAGTTAGTTATAAAGGTATATTTATTAGGGCAGGAGGATAGAAAATACTTAATAGTTTGTATGCTTGTTTTATAACTTTTAAAGATTTAAATATTCAGATGTATGGTCTGTAGATCTCTATTTTGAACCCTTGCCTAGGCCCTGCAAATGTTAGAGGTGGGGTTGACCCTCCCTCCCTTCAGAGTTAACTGCTATTCTGACTTTAATGGTAATCATCTCTTTGTTTTTCTTCATAGTTTTGCTACATAAGTATGCCTCCTTGAAAAATATAATTTAATTGTGCTGCCTTCTAAATTTTATAGAAATAGAATTATTCTTTATG